GGTGAAGGACTCCGCTCCACATGTCTGTGGATGCGGCTCATCGTCTGGTGTCCCGAGGTCACCATCAGCACGTCCAGCAATGGTTTTATGGGTTTGCGGTCCTGTAGCCCAAATCTACAGCCCAACACATGCTAGACAAGCACCTTACTACCAAGTTACACTCTCTACACTCTCGATCTTCAAGAGTTTAAAAAATATAGTTCACTGTGACAGACTTCAAGATTATCTCACACACACACACACACACACACACACACACACACACACACACTCTCTCTCTCGACTCCTGTACCACACTCCATTCCATATTGCTGGCCCTCAGTGTCTGTTGGATCAGTCTCAATCATGCCCACCCCGGCCCTCTGCAGTGACCTTTCCGCACACTTTTTGGGGGAAATGGCATTTGGAGGAAAAATATCCAAAACAGCGAGTGATCAGGGCTGTGCCTCAGAACATCATCCCAGCCTCCTGGGATGCAGGGCAGGAGTAGTGCCACAGTTTTGAGCGTCACATAGTAAGTTCTAGCCCGCCTGAACTACTGGGTCAGACTCTGTCTCAAAACAAAACAAAACAAAACAAAGCAAAACAAAACAAAACAAAACAAAGGGTTGGAGAAATAGCTGTTGGTGGAGGATTTGCCTAGAGCCCTGGGTTCCATTTCACAGAAAAACAGACAGTAGTGCCAACTCAAGTCCCAGAACTCCTGAGGAGGATTGGGGGTTGAATACCAGCCTGGGCTACACAGCAAGTTAGAGGCCAGCCTGGGCTACCTGAGAATTTGTCATAAAACGAAAGTAATGACCACATGAACAGTCCCCCGACCCCATCCTGCCACACAGTGAGTTCAAGCCTAGCCCAGCGTGTGTATTAGTGTAATACACAGGGAACCGCCTCAACACACACAGCCAGCCTGTGGCCTTGGAGCAGGGGGCCTGGCTCACACAGACCGGGCCACACCCACCATGGCCTCAATGCCCCGCACCCGCACCCGCAGACAGTAGCACTGGCTGTGGTCCAGCAGTCACACCACGGTCGGTCGGTCGGTCGGTCACACCACCGCTCTCTCCCTCTTCCCCAGTCACCTGGGGTCATAGGCCCAGTGACCTCAAGCGCCTATGGATTAGTCACACCCTTTGAGGGGAGGGGCCGGAGATCCCGTTTTGCCTGCCGGTCCTGAAGGCTTCTCTCTCCCCAGGCCTCCAGGCCTCCCTCCTCTCCCTCGCCATCGTCCTTCCCCGACCCACCTGACAGATGCCAGGGAAACAAACCCGAGGCCCCGGGGAAGGAGGCCGCTGGAGAAGCGGAGGCGGCTGGCGGTAGGGAGTGAGGTCTGGGGAACGAGTGTGCCCAGGTTCAGAGGTCATGCCCAGGCAGGCCTAGCTGCTCCGTGAGCACCCCCCCCCCCCCCCCAGAGGGAAGCGGGGAGATCGGAGCTTAGAGAGTAAGGTCAGCTCAGAGAGGGACAGAGGCGCCACAGGCCACCCAGGATGCCCAGGAGGCCTGGGACCGTCTAACCGAGGGCGTGAACGCAGCCACAGCCTTGGGAGGCAGGAGAGTGGGTGTAATGAGTTAACACAGAGCGGTCTGTAATCACACGCGTGTGCACTCTTGCACAGGTGTGGAGGTCAGAGGGCACCTGCAGGACTTGCTTCTTTCCTTCACCCCGTGGGACCCTGCGATGTCTCAGATCTCCAGGCTTGAAGGCATGAGCTTAATGAGGCCACCCATAAGGTTTGCTTGCTTTTAATAAATAAGCTTGAGGAAACAGGGACATGGTAGTTAACTGAGTGGGAAATAAGAAAGAGGGGTACGATGAGGAACTAGGAAAGCTGCATTCAAGCCGCAGTGTGCAGAAAAGATACAAGGAAAAATTTTAAGATGTTTCCTTTTCTTTTTGAGGCAGATAGGTTTTCTTTCCTATTTTATTTTATTTTATTTTTTGAGTCAGGGTTTTGTGCAGCCCTGGCTCTCCTGGACTCACTTTGTAAACCCTGGCTGGGCTTGAACTCAGAGATCCACCTGCCTCTGCCTCCCTGTGTGCTGGGATTACAGGCGTGTGCCACCACTCCTGGCTATCTTTCCACTTTCAAGTGGGGCATTTGTACACTTGCTTTGTGTTACACACAGGTGTGTGCACGTCTGTGGAACCCAAGGTTGATGTCATCCATTACTCTTCCATCTTGTTTACTGAGGCAGGTCTCCCAAACTCCTGGATGTGCTTAGGGTTGGTAGCCAGCTGCTCTGGGCATCCCATCCAGGCCGGCACTGCAGGCTGGAGGGGACACTCCCTCCGCATTTGTGTGGTGTTTGGACGATCCCCATGGTCTTGATCCACACTTGGTCTCTCCCACCAATGCGATGTTCTCAGCTCGCATTGCAGTGATTCAACCTAGATTCTCAGCTTTTCCCTTTAAGTTTTGTTGTTTTTTGGGGACAGGCTTTCTCTGTAGCCCTGGCTGTCTTGGAGTTCGCTCTGTAGACCAGGCTGGCCTTGAACTCAAGAGATCGCCCTGCCTCTGCCTCCTGAGTTTTCTCTGTAAGCAAGTTTAACAAATTTAATTTCTGCTGGGACTGAAGGCTGTGCCCCCACCATCAGGCTCCCTTTCTGTCCTAATGGTCACCTTGGCTCCTCTTTCTCTGCAAATAATTTAAAACATTTGAGACAAGGTCTTATGTTGCCTAGGCTGGCCTCTAACTCATGGGCTCACTTGGTACGTGTCTCTTAGTCTCCCAAATACAAGGGTACCATTGTATATAATTTTTCTCCCTTTTTAATATAAATATTTAAAACTAAGATTAAGAACTTTCTTCTATAAGTATAAAAATAGCCTAGTGGAGAAAAAGTAGTATCCCGAAAATAGGACTTTAATGCATATATTAAAATTTAGAGCTATAATGAACATATCAAACATTCCTAAAGAGAGGGACAATCTTACTGCTAGTATAATTTCCCAATTATTCTTAGAGTAATAAAGTTATATTCTTCTTTCCTGTGTCTGACCAACTAAATTCCAGGTGGATTAAGTCATCCAATATAGATGTGGAAACAATAAAAAGCAGAAAGACACCCATCTGGTCGTTAAGGGAGAAGTGCTGGGGTTTCTAAAAATAAGTGTTCCTGCTCGTTGTCACTGTGACAGATACTTGAGAGAAATAATTTAAAGGCAGAAATTAATCATGCCGCTTGGGGTCAGCCTGTGGACGGGCTGCTTCTGGCTTCCCAGCCAGGGACAACATGGCAGGAGGGTGGTGGCCTGGGCTGTTTACTCGGGACAAGATGGCTCGAAGGTGAGCCTCCCCTCACTCCAGCCCGGCCACGTTGTCTCAGCGTTCCCACTACTCCTCAACCTAGTGACACCAGCTGGAGAGAAAGCCTTCCACGCGAGTCCATGGGGCACTTTTTATCCTACCCTGTACCCGGAGACTGAATAAAACTCTGAAGCCGCCTACCACACAGGAGTTCATTCTCACACACAAAACCAGAAACAGAGACGCCTGCCAAGTGTGAGATGCAAAGAATGTTCCTCTGATTAGACGGCTCAGCTGTTACAGCGCTTCTGCACGCGGGTGAGGGCTGAGCTCACATGCACAACCATCTCCACGAGCAGGCTTGCCAAGGATGGTCGCAGCACAGGAGGGAACAGGAGGGTCTTTGGACCTTCACCTGAGCTTCCGGCCTTCCTCCTGGCCATGTTTATTTTGTCCTAATTACATGTGCAGCGGGCTGAATTGGAGAGGAACCGTATGTTCAGGCTGAGGAACACGTGGGGAGAGGAGCGCCACCTATGTGGCCATGAGGAAGCCGTGTTCCACGCTGGACGAAGACTCTCCAGTGAGGCTGCTTTGGATTAGCCCGTGCCTGTAACCCCTCATCCGGGCTCTGTAAGTCAGCTTGGCAAATTCAAGCTTAGCATGAGCTGTGGTAGAATTATACTTTGGTTTATCCTTAGAAACTTAGGAGGAAAGTTCTCCCTCCCACCCAACCCAGGATGGGAACGGCTCCCCATCCCCACCCTGTTCCGACAGTAGAATTCTGGCTCAGCTGAGTTGGGCTCTGTTACTTCCATAGGGACTGCCAACTTGCTCTCACATCGGAGTGGAAGTTTGAGGTGTTCTGGCGCCTACGGGTTACCATCAGCGCAGGGTCCGTTGAGGGAGGAGGACTCCAGCCCGGGCTACACACTGAAACCCAGTTTACGGAGGAAACAGTAAAATGGTTAAAGATGTGGAGCCCTGGGACCGGGCAGAGAGAACATCTTGCGGGCTGGGGTCTGCGTCCACACTGCGCGCCCTGACTTCAGGGCCCGATCCGTCGTAACCTGCCAACCGGCTCCAGGCGAGAAGTTCCTGAAGAAGCGGAGCGCCGCCGCCCCCGCGGGCATCCCTGGGGATACGCGGAGGGCCCAGCCCCGCCAATCTCCGGCCACTTCCGGTTCACCCGAGGCTTAGCCAACCGTCGCCCTACATCCCCGGCGCCTGCGTGCTGCCGTGGACACGGGAGGGCGTGCAAAGCCCAAAAGGTGCCCGCGTGGTGCTGTCTCGTCATTCTTCCCGGCTCAGTCCTGGGATCTTTCCAGAAAAAATGCGCCGGCCTTACGGTCGGGAGACGGTGTGTCCCTGGAATCTCACTTCCGGCCACAGCTCAAAGGGCCGGAAGCGCTCCGCCAGTCAACATCCGGGTCTCTTCCCGCCCTCTGTGGGTTGTCATGGAGATGGGATGGCGGCCTTCAAACCCCCAGGGATGCTCGGCGAGCAAACCTGGGAACTGTTCACGAGTCCCGTCTCTTTCCAACTGCCAGTCTCCCCTCCGGCCAAGGAGATCATTCCAGAAGTGGCGTGAGGCCCTCAGTGTCGCTGGAAGGGCGGGCAAAGATGCTCACTCACTCACTCACTTCCGGGTTGCTGCATTAGTAGCGGCCAGCCAATCAAGGTCCCGCTCCTTTTCCCGCGTCTCGCAGGTTGCCATGGTGACGCAGAGGGCGCATCCACGCGTCCGGAGGAGCTGGTCAGGTTTTCGGGTACCTCTGTTCCCTCTGTCCAGGCTGCGGCAGAGTGCCCGGGACGCGGGTCCCCTACCATCGTGCAGGTGGGTGGCAGCGGAGGCTCCATCCCTGGGGGCATCTCTGCCTGCCCCGCTCATCAGACTGGGAGAGGTGACCCGGGCGCTCGTGCTTCCCTGACCCTGAGATGAGACGCCACCTCCTTCAACCCAGAGCATCTTCATGGCCCGGGATCGCAGCTCCCGCTTGGCTGATGCCCGTGGTCCAAGCTGGGTATGATGGTTTGAGCATCCAGCTTGGTTGACGTCCATGGCCGTACTCCTGTGATGGTCACAAGCTCCCAGCTCGATGTCCATGGTCCACGGTGGTTATGATGGACACGAACCCCAGCCTGGGAAATGTACATTTTCTTGGTGTTTTGAAGCAGCTTGCGCTGGAAGATGCTCGCTTCCTGCTTTAAGCTTCCTGTTGCCTATAGGGGTGGGAAGGATTCCAGCCTGCAGGAGGGGCAGCTGCTGAGTTTTGCCGGCCCTGCCCTGCCATCTTTTCGTCCCCAGGAAGGGTTAGTTGGACTCAGAGCAAAGTTAAAGGGCCCCCAACTCAGAAGCTTGTAGCAACTTACCTAAACTCATGCTTTTTAAATCAGGTTTGTTTGTTTGTTTATGTGCATGTTGTTTTTGGAGGTGGGAAGGTGGCGTTGGATTTGCTGGAGCCAACCATCAGTAGTTGAGAGGCTCTCAGTGTGGGTGCTGGGAACAGAACTCAGGTCCTCTGCAAGAGTGGACTGTATTCCTTGTGGCTGAGCCATCTCTCCAGCTCTGGAAGCTGTCTTCCCTCTGTTTCCTTTGCTGTGAGGAAGGGTTTTCAGCTGATGCCATTTGTTAGTTCACATGAGCTATTGAGTTCTCTCCTGGAAGGACCTGCCTCTGCCTGTAGCTTAGAATGTTCACTCCTCACTTTCCCAGCAGTTGCTGCTTCAGGTCATGTATTACCATCTGTGATCTGTTTGGGGGGTTAACTTTGTAGAGTGAGAAACGAGGATCCCCTGTGTGCTGGCTAGTGCCTCTGGAGAGGAGGGAGCCTCAGCTGAGGAAATGCTTCCATAAGATCTGGCTGCAGGCAAGGCTGCAGGGCATTTTCTTAATTAGTGATTGATGGGGGAGGGCCCAGCCTGTTGTGGGTGGAGCCATCCCTGGGCTGTGGTCCTGGGTTCTATAAGGAAGCAGCTGAGCAAGCCATGGGGAGAGGCCAGGAAGCAGCACCCTCCATGGCCTCTTCATCAGCTCCTGCCTCCAGGATTCTGTTCTGTTTGAGTTCCTGTTCCAATTTTCTTCGATGGTGAACAGTGATGTGGACGTGTAAGCCAAACAAACCCTTTTCTCCCCAACTTGCTTTTGGTCATGATGTTTTATCAAAGCAGTAGAAACCCTAAGACATGGGGCTAGAGAGTAAGGCCCTGTCTTAAAATAGAAAAGGATGGAAGGGAGACTGAAGCCATGGCTCAGTGATTAGGAGCACTGGCTGCTCTTCCAGAGGACCTGTGTTTGATCTCCAGCACCCACACAGTGGCTAACAATCACCTGTGAGTCCAGTTACAGGGGACCTGATGGCCTTGTCAGACCTCACTGGACACCAGGCGTGCATATGGTGCAGACATGAATGCAGGCAAACCACCCATACAAGTAAAATAGCAACAAGCATCTTGTTTTTGCCCCCCCCCCCTTTGGCTTCTTTATAAGCACAGCACAGAGAGCCTCTCGGCACTGGTGGAGTCGGAGTCTGCGGCGTTGTTTGTATGTGCTGAGACCCAGGCTAGCTTGACTGGTCACCATCATTTCTGTTTACTTCCCAGGAGCTGGCGATGCTGTTTTACCGTATATGAGCAATCGACCCAGACATGGAAAACTTTGTCCTGTACGAGGAGATTGGCAGAGGGAGCAGGACCGTCGTGTACAAGGGCCGCCGGAAGGGAACCATCAATTTCGTGGCCATTCTTTGTACTGAAAAGTGCAAACGGCCTGAGATAACCAACTGGGTGAGTCCGGGGCATCTGCCTACCTGGGGGCAGCAGGATGCCAGGTGATGCACGCATGCAATCCCAGAAGTCTGGGGCCGAGAGGACGACTGGGAGGTCAAGGCCAGCCTGGACCACTTAGCCAAAGCCTGTCTCAACAAGACAAGGGATGGGGTAGAATTGGCCTACTGCATGCAAGGCCCTGAATCCCATCCTTAGCATGCACATACACAGGTAGCTAGATAACAGAAGCCAATGGGCATGCTGTATCCACAGTCAACTTTTCCACCCTGGACTGAGGGCCCATCTCTGTCTGGTGCTGTCGGTCCTGAGTAATGAGCAGTGACCTCGGCTAGGCCAGCTCCTTTGGTTTTGGTGCAAGGGGATGTAGAATAGATGTTCACTTCGGGAGTTGGTATGTGAGGAATTGCCGCCCACCTGATGAACGCAGGCTCTATCCCTGGGGCTTACACAGCGGAAGTGACCTCCACACGCCTGCTCCAGCATGCAGCCCCACGCACATGCAGCATCCCTGTGGACACCACCGAGTGTGAGGACTGTGGGTCCGGGGTTAACCTTGTATCGCCAGGCTTGGTGGCAAGCACCTTCGCCCACTGAGCCGTTCTGCTGGCCCAGTGTGCATCCCAATTATAGGAACACACTTACCCTCATTCTGTGGGAAGGAATGTGATCTCGCTGCCAGCAGGTGGTATGAGTTAACTGAGCCTGGAGGCTGGGAAGGCATGCCGAGTACCCGGCTGTGCTGAGCGTCTTCTGCTACAGACACAGGGTGAAGGCACAATGACAGAAGAAGAGAGCCTTGACCAGAAGGACAAGAAAGGGCTTGACCAGAAGGACAAGAAAGGGCTTGACCAGAAGGACAAGAAAGGGCTTGCTCTGCCTTCCTAGATTTCTGGCTGCCTGACTAAGCACAGATTACACTCTGCTCCTGTGCCCACGGTGGCAGAGTGGGTTCCTCATGTACCCACTGCTCTGAGTTTTGTCTGCGTAGGCTAGGTTTGCCGATAGTGTCTGCTGAGGTAGCCCAGGCCGTATTCCAGAGGCCTCCAGCCTTCCAGCCTTCCCTTCCAGTCTGCAGGTGTGCCCTTCTAACGGTACAGATTAGCCTGGTGGGTTTGGAGTGTTGTATGAAGAGAGCCTGAGTCCCTCTGTGAGGCAAAGCTGATGTTTTGGAGATTAATAAGTCATGAGGTTTGGACGGATAGCAATGGTTTGGTTTTGTTTTCTGTTTTGGCATCTGGGCAGATGAGTGGCAATGCCAGTTACTGAGAAGGGAAGAAAGCACAGGAGGTGGGCAGGTTTGATTTTGATTTCAAGGAGCCTGTTATCCAATGGACAAGAAGCACATTTGGGACAGAGATGTAAATTGTCAGGTCACAGTGAGGAAAGGTGGAAGAGGCCTGGGTTCCTCCATTACAGCATAAAGGGATGGACAGAGACCCAGCAGGGGAGAGGAGGAGATGGAGAGAGATCGTGGGTTAGCAACACTGGCAGCACTGAGGTAGGCACCGGGCCACCGGCTATAGCTACTGGGCTCTTTTTTGCTGCTTTCTGCATTCCATCTTGCTCCTGTCTGCTGGGAAGAGGAGCCTGATGAAGCTGAGGAGGAGCACAGGCCCAGGGCACTCGCAGTGGGGCGTCAGGCTGTGGCAGTGGGACCTGGGCTGTCAGACAGCGACAGAGACGCAGGCGAAGGTAGATGTGGGCTGGGTAGCTGAGGTAAAGGCTGAGGACTTGGGGTGGGGAGGTGACTGTTCAGGAGGTGACTGTGTGTGTGTGTGTGTGTGTGTGTGTGTGTGTGTGTGTGCGCCCGTGGCAGCTGGTCCTGGCCACCATCAGCTCCATCCCCCATCCTCATGCCTGGCCCTGTGTTCCAGGCCCTTCTGCAGTCCCTTCAGCCTCACCTGCCCCAGCAGTTTGCCAGAAGTAGAGGAAGAAGAGGTTTGCTCAGGGTGACCTGGTGTCCTGGATAAAACCCCTCTGAAAATGTCTTAGGAAATTGCAGCCAGTGACAACACATTGCTGGTATCTGCAGAAGGCGGGGAATGTGTTCCAGCCCAGCACAAGGCTGCCTTGGGCTATCCAGGCCTCTCTTACTGAGAACATAGGTGAAGCGGATGTCAGGTCAGCCACCAGGAGCCTTTGGCAGACTCCAGTGCAGCGCTGGAGGGGCAGACTTTGTAGGTGGGTGGGGATGTGCACAGCTGGGTCTGGTGATCCTGGGTGGCCTGTCCAGGGTGTCTGGGCAGAGGCGAGACCCACAGCTCTGCAGTCATGGACAGGAAGGGAATGTCTGGGGCGTTTTGGGACTCTATATTTGATTCTTTTCTCATTCCTCTGTGTCTACAAAACACCTGTGTGTGTATGTGAGCTCTGAGACAGTTTACTGTAAAGGAGACCCTGTGCCCGAGTGATCTCAGGGCTGGCGAGGCTGAGCCATGTTTGTGTTCATGTAAACACACTCAATGCACCTTTAGGCTGCGGTGTTTTCAACCTCCATTGGGACGTAACACCATTACAGCACCACAGAGCATCACCCATTCCTCAGCAGCGGTGGCCGTTTTGATGTTACTTTCACCACTTCCCATAAGTAGGGCTTTGCTGTTAGCGCTCGCACACCTTTAGCCTTTCCATGTGTCCACCCCTGAGGACCAGCACGCCTGATGGTTGTGAATAAACCCCACAGTTTGTCTGATTTTACAGTCACAGTTAGATGCTGAGCGAATGTTGTGTTTTGTAGGTCCGTCTCACCCACGAAATCAAACACAAGAACATTGTAACTTTTCATGAGTGGTATGAGACCAGCAATCACCTCTGGGTGGTGGTGGAGCTGTGCACAGGTAAGAGCATGAGTGTGAGCCTGACTGTGCAGCCGCCAGACGTGGTGGTGCTAGCTGGAGGGTGCGGGTGATGGAGGGCACGGGGGTGATGGAGGAGGGAGGGAGTGATGGA